TTTATGCATTTAATTTAATTTAGCATTATGCATATAGGAATAGATTTATTTTTACGTCGGTCCCGGGACATGCATGCATTAATTTTTTTGTTTCTATATTTTATACTAACTTATTTTCAAGTGTTTTTAATTTGTAGGTAAAGCTTATGTGGAGACGAGGGGATCCGCAAAGATCCTTCGATCTCGATTTCAAATCCAAGGTAAGTGATTTTAATATTACTTTTTTGTTTCCGACACATATATACTAATATCTATTTTAGATCTTTTTAGATGCATACGTAGGGAGCGGCCGGATGATCGGACGACCGAATACATCATAGGGAGTAATCCGTCCCTTTCCTTTTACATTTATGCATTTAATTTAATTTGGCATTATGCATATAGGAATAGATTTAATTTTACGTCGGTCCCGGGACATGCATGCATTAATTTTTTTGTTTCTATATTTTATACTAACTTATTTTCAAGTGTTTTTAATTTGTAGGTAAAGCTTATGTGGAGACGAGGGGATCCGCAAAGATCCTTCGATCTCGATTTCAAATCCAAGGTAAGTGATTTTAATATTACTTTTTTGTTTCCGATACATATATACTAATATCTATTTTAAATCTTTTTAGATGCATACGAGAGGGAGCGGCCGGATGATCGGACGACCGAATACATCATAGGGAGTAATCCGTCCCTTTCCTTTAACATTTAGGCATTTAATTTAATTTAGCATTATGCATATAGGAATAGATTTATTTTTACGTCGGTCCCGGGACAAGCATGCATTAATTTTTTTGTTTCTATATTTTATACTAACTTATTTTCAAGTGTTTCTAATTTGTAGGTAAAGCTTATGTGGAGACGAGGGGATCCGAAAAGATCCTTCGATCTCGATTTCAAATCCAAGGTAAGTGATTTTAATATTACTTTTTTGTTTCCTATACATATATACTAATATCTATTTTAAATCTTTTTAGATGCATACGAGAGGGAGCGGCCGGATGATCGGACGACCGAATACATCATAGGGAGTAATCCGACCCTTTCCTTTTACATTTATGCATTTAATTTTTTAATTTAGCATTATGCATATAGGAATAGATTTATTTTTACGTCGGTCCCGGGACATGCATGCATTAATTTTTTTGTTTCTATATTTTATACTAACTTATTTTCAAGTGTTTTTAATTTGTAGGTAAAGCTTACGTGGAGACGAGGGGATCCGCAAAGATCCTTCGATCTCGATTTCAAATCCAAGGTAAGTGATTTTAATATTACTTTTTTGTTTCCTATACATATATACTAATATCTATTTTAAATCTTTTTAGATGCATACGAGAGGGAGCGGCCGGATGATCGGACGACCGAATACATCATAGGGAGTAATCCGACCCTTTCCTTTTACATTTATGCATTTAATTTTTTAATTTAGCATTATGCATATAGGAATAGATTTATTTTTACGTCGGTCCCGGGACATGCATGCAATAATTTTTTTGTTTCTATATTTTATACTAACTTATTTTCAAGTGTTTTTAATTTGTAGGTAAAGCTTACGTGGAGACGAGGGGATCCGCAAAGATCCTTCGATCTCGATTTAAAATCCAAGGTGAGTGATTTTAATATTATTTTTTTGTTTCCTATACATATATACTAATATCTATTTTAAATCTTTTTAGATGCATACGTAGGGAGCGGTCGGATGATCGGACGACCGAATACATCATAGGGAGTAATCCGTCCCTTTCCTTTTACATTTATGCATTTAATTTAATTTAGCATTATGCATATAGGAATAGATTTATTTTTACGTCGGTCCCGGGACATGCATGCATTAATTTTTTTGTTTCTATATTTTATACTAACTTATTTTCAAGTGTTTTTAATTTGTAGGTAAAGCTTATGTGGAGACGAGGGGATCCGCAAAGATCCTTCGATCTCGATTTCAAATCCAAGGTAAGTGATTTTAATATTACTTTTTTGTTTCCGACACATATATACTAATATCTATTTTAGATCTTTTTAGATGCATACGTAGGGAGCGGCCGGATGATCGGACGACCGAATACATCATAGGGAGTAATCCGTCCCTTTCCTTTTACATTTATGCATTTAATTTAATTTGGCATTATGCATATAGGAATAGATTTAATTTTACGTCGGTCCCGGGACATGCATGCATTAATTTTTTTGTTTCTATATTTTATACTAACTTATTTTCAAGTGTTTTTAATTTGAAGGTAAAGCTTATGTGGAGACGAGGGGATCCGCAAAGATCCTTCGATCTCGATTTCAAATCCAAGGTAAGTGATTTTAATATTACTTTTTTGTTTCCGATACATATATACTAATATCTATTTTAAATCTTTTTAGATGCATACGAGAGGGAGCGGCCGGATGATCGGACGACCGAATACATCATAGGGAGTAATCCGTCCCTTTCCTTTAACATTTAGGCATTTAATTTAATTTAGCATTATGCATATAGGAATAGATTTATTTTTACGTCGGTCCCGGGACAAGCATGCATTAATTTTTTTGTTTCTATATTTTATACTAACTTATTTTCAAGTGTTTTTAATTTGTAGGTAAAGCTTATGTGGAGACGAGGGGATCCGAAAAGATCCTTCGATCTCGATTTCAAATCCAAGGTAAGTGATTTTAATATTACTTTTTTGTTTCCTATACATATATACTAATATCTATTTTAAATCTTTTTAGATGCATACGAGATGGAGCGGCCGGATGATCGGACGACCGAATACATCATAGGGAGTAATCCGACCCTTTCCTTTTACATTTATGCATTTAATTTTTTAATTTAGCATTATGCATATAGGAATAGATTTATTTTTACGTCGGTCCCGGGACATGCATGCATTAATTTTTTTGTTTCTATATTTTATACTAACTTATTTTCAAGTGTTTTTAATTTGTAGGTAAAGCTTACGTGGGGATGAGGGGATCCGCAAAGATCCTTCGATCTCGATTTCAAATCCAAGGTAAGTGATTTTAATATTATTTTTTTGTTTCCTATACATATATACTAATATCTATTTTAAATCTTTTTAGATGCATACGTAGGGAGCGGCCGGATGATCGGACGACCGAATACATCATAGGGAGTAATCCGTCCCTTTCCTTTTACATTTATGCATTTAATTTAATTTAGCATTATGCATATAGGAATAGATTTATTTTTACGTCGGTCCCGGGACATGCATGCATTAATTTTTTTGTTTCTATATTTTATACTAACTTATTTTCAAGTGTTTTTAATTTGTAGGTAAAGCTTATGTGGAGACGAGGGGATCCGCAAAGATCCTTCGATCTCGATTTCATATCCAAGGTAAGTGATTTTAATATTACTTTTTTGTTTCCTATACATATATACTAATATCTATTTTAAATCTTTTTAGATGCATACGAGAGGGAGCGGCCGGATGATCGGACGACCGAATACATCATAGGGAGTAATCCGTCCCTTTCCTTTAACATTTAGGCATTTAATTTAATTTAGCATTATGCATATAGGAATAGATTTATTTTTACGTCGGTCCCGGGACAAGCATGCATTAATTTTTTTGTTTCTATATTTTATACTAACTTATTTTCAAGTGTTTTTAATTTGTAGGTAAAGCTTATGTGGAGACGAGGGGATCCGAAAAGATCCTTCGATCTCGATTTCAAATCCAAGGTAAGTGATTTTAATATTACTTTTTTGTTTCCTATACATATATACTAATATCTATTTTAAATCTTTTTAGATGCATACGAGAGGGAGCGGCCGGATGATCGGACGACCGAATACATCATAGGGAGTAATCCGACCCTTTCCTTTTACATTTATGCATTTAATTTTTTAATTTACCATTATGCATATAGGAATAGATTTATTTTTACGTCGGTCCCGGGACATGCATGCATTAATTTTTTTGTTTCTATATTTTATACTAACTTATTATCAAGTGTTTTTAATTTGTAGGTAAAGCTTACGTGGAGACGAGGGGATCCGCAAAGATCCTTCGATCTCGATTTCAAATCCAAGGTAAGTGATTTTAATATTACTTTTTTGTTTCCTATACATATATACTAATATCTATTTTAAATCTTTTTAGATGCATACGAGAGGGAGCGGCCGGATGATCGGACGACCGAATACATCATAGGGAGTAATCCGTCCCTTTCCTTTTACATTTATGCATTTAATTTAATTTAGCATTATGCATATAGGAATAGATTTATTTCTACGTCGGTCCCGGGACATGCATGCATTAATTTTTTTTGTTTCTATATTTTATACTAACTTATTTTCAAGTGTTTTTAATTTGTAGGTAAAGCTTATGTGGAGACGAGGGGATCCGCAAAGATCGATCTCGATTTCAAACCAAGGTAAGTGATTTTAATATTATTTCGTCTTTTCCTTCCTATGCATATACATAATAATATCTATTTTAAATCTTTTTAGATGCATACGAGAGGGAGCGGCTGGATGATCGGACGACCGAATACATAATAGGGAGTAATTCGTCCATTTCATTTTACTTTTATGCATCGCATTTATTTTAGCATCTTGCATATAGAGTTAGATTTATTTTTACGTCCCGGGACTTGCATGAATTAATTTATTTTTTTTAATTCTTAATTATCAATAAACATATTTTTTTCCTAATTATATCAACTTAGACTAATATAACTTATCTTCTAAAAAAAACACAAAATTTAATTAAAACTTAATATTAAAATTGTGGGCTGGCCTGGCCCGGTATACTTGGAAACCGGGCCATGGCTTGGTTCGGGTTTTCAAACCCAATCCAGAATCAGGCCGGGCTTATCGGACTTCAATTTTAAAACAGCCCGAGACAAACCAAAAAAATATTACTCTCTCTTTCTCGCAAAAAATGCACTAATTTTTTGCGTGTCGGAATGAATAACATCAGCCTGAAATTGCCACATTTTTTTTTTTTTGTTAAATATGATTTCAACTTTCTCAAATTATGGAAGCAACATACCTTAAAATTTGAATCCACCGATATGCTGAAGCTTTTTCCTTTAAATCCGTTGATATGTTGAAGCCTTTTCCAATAATACCTTTGTATCGAATTGCAATGGTGCTGCACTAGATAAACCATTTCTCAATGCTTCCACATATAACTCCTAGAAGTAAGAGATTAAGTAAAAAAATAAAAATCATGCTTACACTGGTCTTTCCTATAACTGCTATTATGAAAATTCTCAAAGCATTATTATTACAAAATATAATTTATCAAATTCTCTAAACTAAGACTACTTAGTACCAACTCACAAACAATTTGTTCATACCATCTTTAATGTGCCAACATAGCATAATTCAGATGGAAGAAACAAATGCCGTTAGAAAATTATTAAGCACAACATTACAACTATTTTAATCGTTATAAATAAAATTAGACCCCTCTGCCTTGTGGAAATATGTTCAACAACTAGTGGACAACAAATTAATGTTCACACATATACATACACATGACTATTGGAATTTTAAAGTTGTAATTATATTGCAAGTCTATATATGTAATGCCCATATTCAACTAGAATTTGTTACCTGAATTACAAATGACAACTGTTCTTGTGGCTTTTATGTTCAGATCCATGATCAAAAGCTGCCAACCGCTCTGTAAATATGGATTCAACTGTTGATGATAAAAAAAAAAAAACATATACAAATTAGGATAGGTATTACCTCATACATAAGATATGTGTGTCCTGTATAAATTTCTCCATTCATTCTACATAAACACTCAACAAATTCACTATTTAATAGTAATCGAACTGGGACACACGTGAGTATTCTGTTAGTAATACCTCGTAAACAATTCCTCACGAGAAAATTCCATAAATAATTTTATAAGTAAATTACTAATGACATCAATCATGAAATTTTATCCGTGACTAATTTGCACACGTAATTATATTTATTTTACAATTTCTTACTAAACTATGCACAATAATTTAAATTTGTTTCTAACTTACTATAAACTAATGGATATATAGGATCAAGCAAAAACTGTGTCATGATATATTGACATTTTAAGGTGCAGAAGTTTGAAAAAATTACACCACATGAAGTGAAAGACTCGACCTTTGATGCAATTAACTATAAATTCCAACTCTATAAAAGTGTAGTGCACATAGTAAAACATAAATTTATCAATCGAAAAGAAATGCTATCTGTTTTCATTTAACATGATGGAAATTACAAACCCAAAGCATATTTGATGTCTACATGTAGATTTCCAAGTTGCAAATGGTGAAAGGATTAGAATACAATAGACACCATATTAGCACATTGCAATAGCTTAATCCGCTAAAGTTTTAAAAATCTCATTATTATATAAACTTCATTCAATCTACTTTCTTGTATCTACAAACCAGCCAAATCCTGATATATTAACAGGATCGTAACAAATATATATAACAAGAAATTGCACCTTGCTAATAATAATTACAAGATTAAAATACTTATGAACAGAATAGTGGCTTAGAAACATAATCTTATATCTTATATCTTCAATAGGGGTAGAAAATGAAAATTTCACAAGAAAAACTAAAATACTTACAATTACACCCATAAAGGAATGAAATAGAATTGTCGGCATACGATGCACCTTCTGATTCCAAATTTTCTAACGGTGCCTGTACCAATACAAGATTAAACAAGCATGATTCAGTAGTTAGTAACTTTAATGAATGTCATGAGATCATGTCATTTAGACGAGGGGTTGAAGTGGAAGGGAAATTAACTAAACTTGCCCAAACGGTTCAAACAGCCAGTTACGATTTGTCAAAATATCAAATCAAAACCAAACCTTCCGAATAACAGCTTCGGTTACCGTTTAACGGTTTCGATTACAGTTTAAAAACCGCCGGTTTCGATTTAAAAACCGCTTGTTACAGTTTGAATCGCCTGTCTATATATATTCATTTTTAATATTTTTTATTTTCTATTTTTCTAAATTTGAATTGTATTTAAAAATAAGTAAATTTTATATTAATTTTATTCAGATATATTTATTATTTATTTATTATGTAAAAATCATACATATAAATAATTAATTCAATCGTTACATTATAAAAATAATTAAAATAATAAATATAGTAAATCATTAAATTAAATTAAAAATAAAAGGTACATAAAAATAAATATAAAAGTATTGATATGATAAAAAATTACAAAATACAAATGGTTGCAGCCACTAGCCGTTCTCCTTTTTTTCTTTTACCTGCTCCCTACTCCCTCTTTCCTCCTTATTTTTCTTCTTCTTCTTTGCCTGAGCCGCCTTCTTCTTCTTCTTTGCCTGAGCCGCCCCGGTGAGTGGTGAGAGATTAAAAAATAAAAAATGCAAACCGCCGGTTCAAATCGTAAACCGGCGGCTTACGGTTTGAAAAATTCACAAACCGAAACCGAACTGTGGGGATGACAGTTTCGGTTCGGTTTGTGCCGGGTTTCGGTTTTAACCGTAACCATCGGTTCGAAAACCGGTGAACCGGCGGTTCAAACCGACGGTTCGAAACCTGGGCAAGTCTAAAATCAACCTTATTCAATTCTAAATCAAAAAGGATCTCTCGACATATATTGGTGATAATTAACCATGAATTGGTCCAACAAATTTACAAAATAATATCTATCATGCAGAAATTTCGTAAATTTAATTAAAATTCCACATTGTTGAGTATATGGCAGTAATCTTCTAAGTAAAAGAACCACGGAGAATAAAATAAATTTAAACAAACCTTTCAACAAAACTTAACAAAGCAAGTTGAAATATTAAAACTGCAACACCATATTGTGAATAATAGCTTAAATCAAGCGGCGCTTAGAGAACATAGAATTTCACTTCCTTCATACATAATTCAAACAATATTTTACAGAGCAACACATTATTCACAAATCTCTATATACTACTTTCGTAATAGGTATGCAATATGTTTCTTCAAAAGTTTACTACCAAATGGACACTCTTACGGACCAATGTTTCAAAATATATGTTTTCATGAATTCAAACATAAGTATAACTTTCATCATAAATGGGCCGTTTGAAATAAAACACTACACCATTGGTCTTTGCATGGAAATAACAAACAAAGTGGCATAAAACGATATTTCTAAAAATTCCCTAACAAACAAAATGGCATAAAATGATATTTCTAAAAATTCCCTAACAAACAAAGGGGCATACATATCATATTACCCTTCTTATGCATGCATCTGCATTATCAATGTCAAGAGGCTAAACAACAACAAACATTCGAAAAGTAACGGAAATTAACCAACTTCATCAGTCTCGTCTTATGAGATCAATGTTAAGACTCATGACTACTTACTTGAACTATTAGTAGTACTACTATAGCTCTTTCTTTATTATAAATTGTAAGCATGGCAAAGAGATTAAGGAAATCTTCACCTTCTTCTTCGGTAGATGCCATAAGCAATAGTAGCAGATGAAGTGATGCTTAATATAATAACCACAATCCAGGTGGCATCTCTTTTTTGTTTAACTTTAACTGTATCAAGCCCACTTGGTGGGTTGTGGTTATCAAATAAGGCCGCACTTGATTTGCCAATAGTAGTACCCACTTGGCCCCTGATTTAATTAGTAATGCATGTAATTTGAATTATCTATCAATCTAAGATAAGAATGGGAGGAGAAGAGAACATATATATTCAGAGAGAATTGTGAAACCTCCAAAGCCTCTCAACGATTTCACCCTTTAGGATCTGTTCCTCAACTAATTCAAGAACATCCTTAGCCGTGATGTATCCACACCTGCGTGATTAGAGCAAAAAAAATAGTTAGTTATGATTAATCCTTGAAGAATAACAGACTACAAATGTATGTTTTCATAATTATAGACCATGAACACATATTATGGTGCATCAAATATCTAACATGAATCCATAAAAACTTATACTTATATACTGTAATTAAAAATAAACGAAATATTGTCTATAGAAGGATAATAAAATATAGCAAGCCATAAAATCTTGGTCTCACCAATTGGCAATTGCAAGCAATCTTTTCCTCAAAGTTAAGACTGAAAATAATCACATAAGCTGCCTAAATTCTTGTTTCCTCATATGTGTTAACAGCCAATCCCCTAAAGATGAAGGCTCTATGCAACTCAAATTCAAGCAAAAACTCAAACTCAAAGTTCTATTGAATCAGTCACCATTACAACAAGCCTATGAACCCAATTTCACTCACACAAATGTTGTCAATTCAACATCAAATTTAGAAATGTATTTGAAATCTTTGGGAGCAAAAATTGAAATAAAACAATCTTGCTCAAGATGTCCGCTATCAAGATTGTTTTCCATAGAAATGCAAGAAGAATTGGTGCACATAAGGCACAACCAACAGCATATACCTTAGACCAGTTCTCTTCGTCTACTAAGAGAATAGTGAGTCGCCTTGGAACTGTTAACGGCAAGTGCATGAGAGAACATAGTTTCGAAAATGGAAACAATGGCCGATGTGTTTCCGTATCTTCCTCATTCCATCCCCACAAATTCTTGTCTCCGTCATTGATCAGTGTCGCTTGGTTGAAGTATATTGCCACATTAGTAGCCCACATCCACTGCGGCAACGAAGCATGTGACTGCGCATTACTCTCGGATCTAACCATGCCTGACAAAACCAGATGGATCCGACAAACTCGAAAAAATCTTTTACAATTCTTAAAATTGGACCCGAACCCGATATATATTAAAATTTTATATATTTTACTCAAAAATATTATGATAAAATAATAAAAAATAAATATATTAAACCAAAAACATATTTTTAATATAATTTAATTATTAAAAATTATTTTTTTTCATATATATAATTAATATATTAATAGAATCCAGATAGGGTCCACTCTTAGACCCGACCCGGACCCGATACCCGAATAATTGAACCCAACCCCAAATAAATAGGTCGGGTCCGGGTCGGGTCTACCCGGACCCATTGCCATCCCTAGAAGGACGGGCCATTGTCATACTCTCAGAGGCTCTAAATGCTGCAGCTTTATCTGTGGAGAAGAGTTGGATTCCCGGTGCCCGCTACAATGCCACCGAATATTACAACCCTTCCCTTTTGCTCGTTGCCTGCTGTAAGGCTCGGCAACCTCGGGCATAGAGAATGCACTCTGCAGATGTGCCTGCACGTCTGCTTTCTCTAGTGTGGATTGCAGCAGTATGGAGTTCATCTTCATCGCCATCATTCTGGTTTCAATGGGAAACCGAGGCAGAATCAGTGAATAAAATGCCGACGGTATATTAATTCAGTAAGCGAAAAGACCAAAAAAAGCACCATAGGGAAAATGCGCCTCATATCAGTCATGGATAAATATTAACTACGCCACTCTCACTAGAAGCATTTAACCTATACACGAACCCAAGATCTTGATTGTGCTAAGAATCAAGGTCGGAGTTGACTTGTAGTTTACAATGAATTATTGATACGCCTACACGAGGTGAAGATATTGATCCCACAAGCTTTCACAAGAGTATAAATTATAATACATGATCAACGAAAAGAGTTGCCCATGAATGTGTTTGGGATAGTACCAATCATCGTCTTTCTTTTGCAAATTTGTTGAATAACAGTCCCAAGAAAACCTTGCAAGATAAAAGAAAACATGACTTTAAATTAGAGAACTTACCCAATTTGATATGCAGTGCACCTATCAAATCCAGAGGTGACCCACGAATCTCCACAAAAGAAGTTTCTACCACCAACAACTATAGCCACCTAGGACAGAATTTAAGGCTGTGTGGGTGGGCAAAATAGATACGCAGAAAGACAAGTAAAGAATGTGAAGTTTGTATTCATACCTCAACTCCAGCAAAACAAGCTAATGAAACTTCTTTTGCAATCAACATTGCCACCTGTGACATGAACGATTACAAAATTAATCAAAGCTTAAAGCTAAGAACATGGAAAGCTAAGAACATGGAGGAATTCTTTCCAATGCTTTTGATGTAGATTCCGAACAAACTTGAGGTGATGAGTTTAGAAATCACAGCTTCGGTAATAATAGTTTTCTATCATACAGGTATTGAGGTTCTTGGTGATCACAATCCAAATTACACAATATTTCAAGGAAGATTCTGCAGGCCAAAGGAATGAAACGTTCGAGAGCCAGGCCACCTAGTTTACCAAATCACCATTCAAAAGAATTCAAATGTCTGATCAAATATATGCATCAAGCTACAAATTGCATTTCTGTGTATGAAATCCAGCAGAATAGGACTCTCCACAACCCAATTTTCCCCAAATACCAAATCAAAGAAGTTTCTTAGTTACAGTGGCACACCATTGGAGGACATTCTGTAAAATGGAAGCGCCATAGGGCTCAGGAAAGAAATCAAAATTACGGAGAGAACAACAGTGTTTAGAAGCAGTTGCAAGCTCAGTTAAGGAAATGCATTCAATCTCGAAATTTAGCAAGCAAAAGGCATTTCTGAAGGAAGAAAGTTGTTCTAAAACCTGTAGAATCATCTATATAATATCATCGAAGATGCATAAGGACAGCTCTATGTTCTTAAGGTAGGATGGTTTCATAGTATCTTAGGTTGTGCCTTTGAGATTCAGTATAAAACAGAACATGCATTTAGTTCGACAGGTTGACGAGGAAGACGAAAATACACCTTTGGATCTACATTGTTAGGTGCAGCAGCACTTCCAGCTAGAGCAGCACCGCTAATTTTGAACACCACTCTTCGTCGTCTGAGATTGTTCGATGGCTTCAATTTGGCGTTGTTAATTTGAACACTGGTACTGTTGATCGATGTTCCTAACCTGTCAAAAACAGGTTTCCATTGGAAGGAATTAAGCATTAGATTATACTGTCCAGATTTCGATCATTGTAAAAGATACAGAACTGCTTCTATAAACCACAGCAGTGTTCAAATTTCTGCTTCCCGATCTGGAATTAGGAATCACAGCTTTCAGATGTATGTATACCTTTTGGATTGTCTAGCGGAATAGGACGCACCAACGCCGACGGACGACTTCTCCTCCTCCGCAGCAGCTTTAGCGGCAAGAGAATTTCCGACGATCTGCTCCATCTGCTTGAACCACGGCCAATGACTCGCAGCAACGCCGCCGCTGCTCAACCGATGCCTCTCCAATTTATACCGCTTCTTCAAATTATCAACCTTGTTCTTACACTGCTCGACGCTCTTCGTCTGATTCTCGCACCTCTCGCTCACCATCGCCGCCACCTCCTCCCAATCCCTACCTCGCAAATTCCCCCGATTCAACTGCACAAACTTCTCGCTATACGCCTCGAGCAAACATCCGATCGCCGTATCACTCCACTCCTCCCGATCCTTCCTGTAGTCCCCGCTCCCTCCCGACGAAGGCAATCTCGACCTCTTCGGCGTTCCGCTGTGGATTTCATCCCGATCGATGAGCGCTTTCCGGAAATCGGATTCCGATCGGGCTCGGAATCGAATGGATCGGAGTCGTGGTCGTACGGGTTGATCTGGTAGGGTGGGGGTGGGGTTTGGGTGGCGGAGGCGGAGGCGGAGGCGGTTGGGCGGGGTTAGGGTTTTGGTGGTCGTCGAGGAAGGAAAAGTCATCGCCACAAGAGGCCATGGACGGCGTCAAGTTGACGGAAACGGAGCGGAGTAGACGGACAGGCCCGGGCGATAGGGGCCCTTGCTCTGGCCCATTCCTTCTAGGGGCCCCAATAATATATATATATACTCCTATATATTAATATATATATTATTATTATTATTTTAAATGTATAAAATAAAATTTAAATAAAAAATTTATTTTATAATTAATTTTTAAATAAATAATTTGCATTAATTTTTAAATTATTTATTTGTATGTTTTAGTGTGTTTATTTAATGGTATGATTTTATATTTTTTTTGTGAATTATATAAAACTAAAAAGATATAATAGAGTAATATTTTTGTATTCTTATTATTTTTTTTATATTTATATGTTTTAAATTTGTATATTTTATTATATTTTTTAATAGTAGTTTTAAAAATTTGTGTATTATATAAACATTGAGTTTGTTTATTTAATCTAAATTTTCTAATTTTTACTATTAGGACTATGCGTTTCTCTCGTACAAATATTTCATCAAACATTATTTTAATATCAAATTTAAACCAAATTTTTCCTTAAACCAATCAAAAGAAACAAACCCTTAATAAATATTTTTGTTTAAAATTTTTCTTTTAAAAATTTTGATTGTTTATAAAAATATTCTTTAAAAAATATTAAATCAAATATTTTTTTTAATTTTTTATGTTATACTAAATATATCACATTAATTTTATATTTATATTTTGATCTTTTAATATATAAAAAAATATTTTATTAATACATTTATATTAAAATATATATATTATATTATTATTATTATTATATAAGAAATATATTTAAGGGCCCAATATTCTAATTTTGCCCCGGCCTAATAAAGGTCAAGAACGGACCTGTAATGGAGGACATGAAAAGAAAGAGCGTCGTTAAGGTGATTGGGGTTTCGTTTTGGGGATTCTGAAAGCTGATGAGGCGTTACCTTCGTCCACGAGCCCGTCATGTGGGCACGTGGCTTGCGCGTGCCGCCCTATTTCACTTGCACCGGATCCGTTTTCATTAACGGGTCCGGAATTAGGGCGTGTTGGATATTATTTTAAATTTTATTTTGAAAATATTACAATAAATAAATTCTTGTTTATAAATTTATTACTCTATTTTTAGAAAATATTAACTCACTCTTAAAATGGATTCAAGCATATACCCATTTCAATAATAATCCCAAAATAAAATTTTCAATTTAATTATAAAATGTATAATATACATTATTTTATTAATATGTAGTACTCCATCCATTTCAATACAATATTCGTGTTAGCATTTTTTGTCTGTTTCGAAACAATACTCTCATTTTCATAAATAAACATATAGCCGTAAAACTATTCCTACTTTTTCATTATTATTACACAATTGTCACTACTTTTTATACTAACATCACAAGGGCAAAAAAATCATTTATCCTTACTTTCTACCAATTACCAATATTATATCAATATTCTTTGAATCTCGTGCTAACAATAAGACTATACTTTTGGGGACGGAGGGAGTATTTTTTTTTATGTTTTTTTGGGGAGTAAAAATCATTTTTTGGTCTCATTCAATATCATAATTATCAATTTTGGTCTCATTCAAAAAAATTATCAACTCTGGTCCCATTTTATTTTAAAAGATCACAACTTACGGCTTATTTTTTAATAATTTTTTTATATATCCAATTTTAACACTTAATTGTTTTTAAATTTTTATATTCACTTTTTTTTCAACTAATTCTTTAACAAAACTATCAAAAACGAAAAATTATTCTGGCAATATATTAATCCGAGTCTATTTCAATCATTCATATTTTTAAATGCCATTAATTTTATAAATTTGAATAATTTTAGAGTGTGTTTGTTTGGGGGATTGGATTGGATTTACACTATTCATCCAATTTTTTTCTCCAAAAACATCACATCATACAACTATTTAAATTTAAAATTTTTACTATTCAAATTCTAACTCAAAATCCAAAGTCCCAAACAAACACACCATAATATTTCATAATATAAATATATATATAATATTATTATAATTTATATAAATTAATATTTTAAAAATAATAGTATAATATTATTTATATATTATTAGATAATAAAAATATATATAAATAAATCATTACGATGAATTTTATAAAATTGTAAAGATAATAAGTAAAAATAATGATACTATAACGGGTGTTGAAAGAAATAATTTGAATAATAATATATATAAATATATGATGTGAATGAGAGATATTAAAAAAATAATATAGTAGAGACACTCACCGTAACAAATGCTCATACGCTCTAATTTGAATAATAATATGGTATGTGAGACGGATGTAGTAATAATTAAACGAGATTATGCACTACAAAAAAAATTACATACCTAGGACGTTGAGAATTCCATCATAACTAATTTGTGACTGAGATATCACACTTTTTGTTGGGTTTTCTTTTGGCGAGGGAGTTAAGTGCTTGTTCATCTTTGTGTTTTTTAATTAATGTGTTATTTTGTATTAATTATAGAAAATTATGTCAATTATATAAAAAATAATCTTTAATATTAAATTATTAACTTTTTTGTGATTAGACAATTATATATTACTCCCTCCGTTCCACATACCATGTTCACATTGTCGTTTCTCTTCGTTCCACGTACCATATCACTTTCCTTTTTTGGAAAATGATTACACATTTTATTCTCATTTTAAACTTTTTTATTTTTTTTAAAAAATTTTAATTAAATTAATTAGTTATCTTAATCTTAATTTATAATTATTTATATTATCGGATAATTATTTTCACTAATACATTCTTAATTATCTACTAATTACACCCCTCCTAAAATACTGTGTCTACAGTGTAGCAGACACGGTATGTGGAACGGAGGGAGTACATATCTTGTATTAATATGTATATATATTGTAGTTTAAAAATAATTATGAAGAATGTACCATAAAAAAATGAACCATAAGTTGCACGAAGTTTTTTTTTTCATGAAATTTGCGAAGAAACAATCATCTTCTGGGTCCGTTTCAAGTTTTTTTGTTTTTTTTTTCTATTAGGATATTATATTAAATGATCATTTTATCTAGACATTTTAATTGATAGGAAAATATATTACTAATTTCATACTAATTATTTCTTTATTAGAAAATAGGACTAATTTCATTAGATTGTTAAAATAAGAAAATTGGATTAATTTAATAGGACCAAAGAAATACTCTATCCGTCCCATAACAAATTATCCATTTTTTTTCATTTTAGTCTGTCCCGTAACAATGTATTAATTTCCTTTTTAGTAATGATATTATTTACCTAACATTACAAATAACTTTACAACTTACAATATATTACACAAATGCCATTACCTTTATATCACACAATACTAATAAAGTTATTTTAGTTATTTCCACTTTATTTATACTATATCCCAATATAATACTAATATTTCTAAAACCACGTGAAAAAACAAATAGATACATAGTTAGGGGACGGATGAAGTATTATATATTCTTCTAACAAAGAAATAATACTCTTTTTATTATTAAAATTTATTTTTATTTTTCTTGTTTTGTTGTAATTGAAATTTATTCTCATTTTAATTTTTAGCAAAAAAATACTATAATTTTCATACTTCTCTTTATTCTAAAAAGAATATATTTTTATTTTTACCTATTTTATTTTAATTTATTATTTTTTTTAAAAAAAAAATACATACCGTATCTAATGAACATCTATTTTGACGAAGGAGAGTGTATCATTTTTTTTATATGGAATTGTAAAGCTAGTAAACAAATTTATATTTTATCCGTTCTTTACCAATTATTTATTTTTTTTCATTTTGGTCTATTCCTTAACAATATATATCATTTATATAACTTTACAAATACTTTTTAAATTTACACTGTATTACACAAATATCATTTCATCTATATTATACATATAGATAAATATGGAATGAATTGAGTATATATTATCCTACAAATATGCACTCATCTGAAATCGAACCCGAATGCCCCAAACAGCGATATCCCCATCACTTGATATGCGCACTAATTTGACATACACACCTATATTTATAGGTCAAAGCCTTCACACTTAGGACAGAGCATATAGATACACGTGTAAAATAATATATATATATATATAAAATAAATAAATAAAAGAGCAAGTGTTATGCAGGGATTGAGATGACCTAATCAGCAACACAATACAATTAATGAAGAAAGTGGAAGCAAAGATGAAATCGTGAAATAACAGATTGCGTCACGATTTTTTAAAAAAAATAAATAAAAAATAAAAATAAAAGTATATTATTATATTTTTGCAAAATGTTATTTTCAAATAATTATTCAAACGGAAAAATCTAAAAACAAACTTGAAGTAGACAAACCTTGTGATCTAATTTTTGAAAAAAATGTATTAAAAATAATCTATTATTTCTATTAATTCCTCTATGGTTTTGACAATTTTATAATATGACATATTTCATTTTATACACACATAAATAATAATGTATATATATATATATATAAATTTCATCTTTATTTTATTTGATTGTTTTTTTCCAGAATATTACCAAACAAGTCTTATTATGTTTTTTTTTTTATACTTATTAAAGATTAAAATAGAATCTTTATGTTTGAAAACATGTGTGTTTCTTTAGTGGAAGTTTGAATACATTTACACTCTGTTTACACAATATATTTTCACTCATTTAGTACTGTTAGGGTGCAAATTCAAATCCCACATCAGAAGTTGTGAAGAAAATTAGCACCTTATAAGTCCCAAGTGAACTCCTCTAGTATGAGGTCTTTTTGGAGAATATCCAAAACAAATCCGTGCGGGCCAACCCAAAGCGGACAATATCATACTAGCATTGAGTTGCCCAGTCCCAAAAACATCAAATCAAATATTAATTTTTCATTTTTTTTCAAACTTCCAAAATTTCAAAAATCTCCAAAAAAGCCCCTGTTTAAACAAACCTTAGTTTGAATTTTGTATTAAAATAATTTTTAATATGATATTTTGTGAGAAAAATATATATATATATTGTTTGGTAAATTCAAAATTTAAATAGTAA